CTCTCGTGCTCCACGTCGTCCCCGTTCACGAACACGAGCCTATCTCCCGCGCGGAGCCCCGAGGTCTCAGCCGGGCTGTCAGGCTCCACTAACCGGATAAACTGCCCCGTCTTACCTTTCTCTCCGTGGAGGTGGAAACCGTACCCGGTGTCCGCCTTGTCCAGCGTGCACAACCGGGGGCGTAAAGACTGGCTTTTGCTCGGCATTGTGGTGGTAAGGCTCCTCTCGCCTTCACTGTGTTTTTAAAGTGGAGTTAAAGCTCAGGATACTGCTTAGGAAGGGTGTGCGTAGAAATGCACCCAACCCCCGCCCTGGAGATTACTCCGTGGGAAACGGTGCTGGTGTTTGTTCCAGCTTCACACACGAGTTTAAGTCTGGATGTGTGTGTGTGTGTGTGTGTGTGTGTGTGTCCTCTCACTTGTGTAAATCTGCACTGTGACTCGGTGCTCTCACGCGAATTGGAGGTCCTGACCTGAGGACTGAGCTGAGGCTGGTTAAACTCACACAGCTCCCCTCTCTGTGAGCGACTAAAGTAGAAAAGCCACTCAGGAAGAGGGAGGTGCGTTCACGGAACTGCCCAGCAGGCTGCCTCATGCAAAGTAGGGACTCGAGGAGTAGTAAACACAAAACCAGGCTGTCCAGGAACATGCTAGAAGATAATGATGTTCAGAGGAGATAGAGCTTGGATTAAAGCAAAAATAAAAAACGTATTCATTAATTCCCACTATTTGTTTCATACGTTTAATATTCAGTATTTTTCTTTTGGTTCTTAGAAATTGCATTTGTAGTTCCCCCCTCACCTTTTGCCTTCTTTCCCCTTAATATGAAAAACACGTGTTGCACATTGTGTCATACTGTAGCTTACATATTTTTATTAAATGTTCTCCCTAATAATAAACCATTATTCATCTCTAAATGTCAGTTTAGCTATATCATTTGGCCAGAGAGGAATACATTACAGTGTGTTTGATGTTCCACAGTAATTTTATTGTGACATTATCAAACTTTAAAACATTTGATTCTTGTATAATTTCAACTAAGAATAAGTTCCCCCTGGTGTATAGTCTGTCATAAAAGAATAATTGATTTCAGGAATGTTAACCCTGTAAAGTCAACCTTTTGTTTATTCATGTATTCCTATTATTTTAATCTTTCTTTCTCTTATATCATTTTTATAATTGAATTGTAGTTTCCCTCATCACTTTGCCCTGTTTCCACACTGTGACCAGCACGTGCTGCAACTGTTGTCACATTGTTCACACTACTCTGAATACAATCTTATTTCTGGCGTCTTCAACATTTTTCAAGCCAAATAACACTTTCACACTTTCTGTGTATCTCCTAGTGTTTTCATTTAGCTGTGTCAATTATCTGAAGCATGAGTTTATTATCTGCCATTCCTTCTGGTAAAAGCACTAAATTGCAGCAATAATAGGAGAAAGTAATAAAGCTTAAATCTATCTCACAATCTTGGTTTAACAGCATCATTGGGCCAGACTGACATACATTACAGTTGTCTGTCTTTGATATTTAACAGTGATTATTTAGTTGTCACCTTATCACATTTAAAACATTTGATAATTTCCCCTGTGGAGTTTAGTCTCCAATTAAACTCCTCATTAATGTTGTTTCAAATATGTAGAGTCACTGTTAATATAAGGATATGCCTGATATGCCAGATTAGATTAAATTGCAATGATCAACATTCACACTTTAGTCATTCTGATAACCCTCTTTACATTTCGATATCAGAGTGATTCACCTTTAAAAATAGAGCAGTCATAAAACAGCTCAAATAAAAGCTGGGAGGATTTGACTCTTCATCTTGCTTCTGGTCCTGATAAGAGGACAGAGACAGGACTCTACCTGGGAATATACATCTACCTCACCGTAAGCACTAATGAATACAGCTTGTTGCTATTAGTTTAGTTGATGGGAAGTCATTCAGGTAATTATGTTTTCTTCACGGATAGAAAGTCTCCTTAATGTGTCTGGAGTGTGTGTGACTCATGGATGTGAGTGGGTGAGCCGCATTCAGGTGTGCAGCCCAGTGCAAGGAATTTAAAATGTCCTCCAAGTATATCATAATAACTTTACCTAACACATTAAAACAACCACAGCACTTACAAAACATCACTATACAGATGTTCAGCATCCTTTCAAAAACAGTAGATCTCTATATTGGAATAAAATAGACAGTACAATCCTGAGTCTACAGGTTGTCTAATTCAGGGGTTCCCAACTTTTTTTCCCAAGAGCCTCCCCAAATGACTCTTGAAGTTGCGCCCCCCCCCACACACACACACACAAGGGGGGGGGGGGGCGCAACAGCTGTAATTAAAGTTTAAAAGTCTCAAAAATGCTACAACTACTGTCACAAACTGGATGAATGTGAAGTATTTTGTTAAAGGAGGATCAAAGCGTAATTAAGGAGCACTATTGGAGTGACTTTGATGGTTATTGGACTCAGGATTCATTCATTTGGATTCCCGCTGAATGAAGAAATTAAAGGAAGGCGCAAGTGGAAACAATTCACAAAGGGATTAAACTGTTTAAAACACATGCTCAAAGTAAGCCGGATTTTGCCGATGTGTTTATGTGGATTCAAAAGTCGTAAATAATTTACAAAATGGAGGAGACCGATCTGATCGGAACAACTGTGACAAATAATCCAACTGAAACCGGCATGGACAATGACTATGTTTTAAAAATGCGCTTATCCAGAAAAGCCTGGTTTGGACACTTTACGCGCAGAAGAAACATTTCTATTAAAGAAAGAATTATACATGTCTGTCTTTTTATGCCTTTAGCTACTAACTTGAATTTTTATTCAAATGAATTAATCAATTATTTTTTAAATGTTATTGTAATGTAGAGACAAGGCTTTTAGCGACAATCATGTATTGCCTTACAATTATATGTAAAAAAAAACAAAGTAAAAAAACAAAACAAGTCTAAATATGATATTTGGCCTCAAATCATCTGAGGCCTGGCGCCCCCCCTGCGATCTTTGGCGCCCCCCAGGTTGGGAACCACTGGTCTAATTGATAAAACAATCTCTAGAGCAACATGTTAGAATATAAACAGGGTAGCTGCTGCCACACAGTGGCTCATTAACCTCAACACACCCTGTCACTCCCAACCCTCCAAAACCCCAACACACAAAACACACAGATGAGACTGACTTCAATAAAAAACACCAAATACATTACAAAATATACTTTTTTTATATATCTAATATGATAACAAAGCACTTTTTCATGGCACTTTGTGATCACTAACGCCTCAGAAGAGGGACGAATGTGACAGCCAGCTAAATTCCACAAGCAAACATTCATAATGAACATTGTACAAAGAAACAAGTTACAAAATGTGGAGCGTGAACAAATACAGCTTGGGTACAGTCTACACAACAACATCCATCGTTAGAGGAGACACATCAATGTTCTGGGAGTTCTGCGAGCACGTCTGTGTTTGCGGATGGTTAAAATGTAAATAGCATGCGAAGGTATTTCTAACCAAAAGATAAGAAAGTAATGATAATTATCTCTTTGTATGAAGCCTGGTGTGACAGTGGGTTGCTCAACCAGCACATTTACATGAACAGTACTTTAAATTAATTGTCACTGGCCCTGAATTGAATGTACAGACAAACACAGTGGGCGAGCGCCCTCAAAAAGTGGCTTTATTCTACCTAACAGCAATACAGATGTGAACAGACAGGATCATTTGAGCTACAATCTGACTGTGAGACTGACGTCCACTTCTCAAACACGCTAATTTATCAAAGGGTAAGACTGTAAGGCCAAAAGGGGTTCAGTTCACAGCCTGGTAAAACAGGGATGGAAACAAACTAAGAGCTGCAGGGCAAAATGCGATATCCACACCAACAGTCGTATTGATTGTTTGGATAAAACTGCCATTAATCATGAGTCAGGCTCTGCAGACTGCAGGATGAAAAATGTGGCACTGGTGAGAATTTGATGGAACTCGGTTTTTCAGTGTCTGCTGCTAGAACAAATACAACTCAAAAAGTTAACAGACGCCTCGCAGGCTTATTCTCTGCTGTGCTGCAGGGGTGAAGTATTTTTGTAGGTAGCTGGCAAACAAACGTTTTTTTTTTGTTCAGCAAGGTAATGTTCACGAAGAACATAGCTGTTATGATTTTTGAAACGTAAATGCAATTGCAAGCAGTGAAAAGCAACCAGGGTTGCATGATCTCAACATCAGAAATCCTTATCTGCGTTACAAAAGCTTTTCCTTTCAGCGTGATTCTTTGATGAATCTACGAGTTGCAAAAGTTAAGTAGGAATAATTAGCACAAAAAAACGCATTGCAAAAACGCTAACTAATTTAATGGGTTTCGGACTTATTCCTGCAGCACACTTGACTCGCATCTTGACCCCAGCCAGTTGCAATAGAATTTGCAAGAGCCAAGAAACGCTAGGATCTATTTCCTTTATTTGGCAGTAAACACAACACCTACTGTGGGCCTGCCAAAACCGTGCTGCGTTTAGAGCACAGTGTGTTCATGTTTGAATCTTTTGCACTGAAACTCAATGTCCAAACATAATTGAAGGGAGTAGTTTCCCTAAATGTGTCCTCTTACCAAATAATAAACTCTTCAGATCTACATCAATCACAAGAGTGCCATAGTTTTCATCCAAAACGATAAATGATGTGTTTGCAGCTATTTAGAATAGAAAGATAATTATGTTTTTTCTGTGTCCCTGGAGATACTGCATTTCTGATTGCAACTCCTGACTTGTCATTTGATACAACTGTCACTACAAAGACCACACACATTTCTACAAATTCACATTTCAGATAAGGTATGGCTGCCAATCCAGATTCACTTTCCATTGGAGCTTAAAGCCCAGTGGTGGAGACGAGGTCGTCCGCTTCTCAGGTTTGGTGCTGGGATTGGCTTTTATGTAAGAGAGCAGACTTTATTTTTATTTTTACCTCGATCCAACTCCTTCCCTTCCTCCCCCTCCTTCTCGCTCTGCGTGTCTCTGCCTGGAGATCAGTGTCAGCTACATGTGGCCACAGCAGCTCGACTTGTGCTTCTGAGCCTCGATGTAGTCGTGTATCTGGAACTTGGGCTCATTCTGCTGCTGGGTGGCTCTGTGCTTCAGCTCCCTGATGAAGAGAGATGCAGGAAGTTAGATACAGAGGAGGTGGATGTGTGGGATGGAGCACACAGGGTGAGCAAATCAAGAAAATGAGAAAGGAAGAGAAATTTAAAAAAAGAACAAGCGAGGGAGAGAAACTCATATCTGTACTGAGATTTAATCAAAATGCCTTTGGCAAGAACCATTTAATCAAACTTGCACTTAAAATACACACAACGATTTCAAATCACCCTCTACTGTATTTCACAGCTCTGGGGACATGCTGTGCAATCAGTGTTCTTTGTGACAAAAACAATGATTCTTTCTGCCTTTCAATAGGAAAGGTGTGTGCTCACGGAAGTCAGTCAAAAGCAGAAATTGCACAGCTGATGTTTGAAATCCACAG